TGGCATCCATATAAATGCATGCAGTATTCATCAATCAAAAAAGGTGAAATTCTTCCTACAGTGAACATCAAGTGAGGATTATGCCAGAATAAACTTAAAATAAATCAGTGGTGTACACCCCAGCCTTACTTCAAGTTGTAGCAAGAGATCCACCCTCTCCAAAGATTGAGCTCACCTAAACAAAAAAATCCTGCACAAGAACTTAGTCAACACACATGAGGATCTGCCAGAAGACCACCCTCATTGCCCAATCTGCTATTTAAAAGGCCAACCCAAATTAGCTGCAAATTACCTTAATACAGGATCACTCCGCCTTGTTTAGACAAAAAAAAAAAAAAAGAAGCAGAAGCATTGTTTAATTGCTCTGTCATTCAGGGCATCACTTAGAAGATACCACAGCACCTGCTCTTTGGTGGAAAGGCAGCAAAAAGCTCCACCATGGTGTTTTCCAGCTCAAAATGGCCATTACACCCTCACCGTATATGCCTTTTTAGTAGAAAGGGTCTTTTCACACAGAGCATCTGGCTTACAACACTTTTTTTTTTTTTGGAGGGAAGGAGTGGGAGGACAATAGAGCCCTTAATGTGCAGTGACATCATTTTTGGCTACAGTCCCACCATGCAGCCTAAAGCAAGCCAGACAGAAGACCTCTACAGGGGCCCTTCTCTGGGAGCTGCTGGAAGCAACGCTTCATTTCAGAAGCGACCTGTTGGAAAGTGTGGAAGGGGTGCCCCGGCACGACAGCAGCATCCTTGCACTGTTAGGACTACAAAAATGGGCAAGGAGGCTCTTGCGATCACTGCGCAGACAACTTGCCCTGTTCAGGCGTGAGGTCCCAACCCTCCTGCTCTGTGAGGCAGGAGCTCAGGCTGGATTTGAGCAAAGCGGGATCCAGCAAAGCCAGTTAACCCTGGGGAAACTGATCTGTCTGGATTGTTCAACTGCCACTGACCTGAGAGCAGGCCATGTCCCCAGGCCAGAGTTAAGGGATAGAGAATTTGCTTCACAGCCTAACGGGTAACACAACAGAGGTAACAGGACAATGGCTAACATTATGAAAAGTAGCAGGAAACACTTGAAGGAAATGTGCATTTAACCAAGCACATGGTGGCAATTTTCATTAAAAGACCTCTAAAGGATACCAACCAAGAGAAGGAGAACCAGGCGTGCTGTACAGACCTGGGAAAAGATGGTTCCCAGCCTCAAAGACTCATGACCTGAACCTACAAATGCTTCTCCTGATTGACATACGGAGGTCAAAAGACACAAAAAGGGCTGCAAGGACAGGATTCTTCTTCCCTAACTTTAAAATCCCCTGATTTTAAAAGATGACCAAGCCTGCTCAGTCAACAAGGAGGGGCAGGCACCTCCAAAGACAGCTCCATCCCAACTTTAGACACCCCATCCCTGATGAAGTCATAGAAGTGAAAGATGATGAGCTTGTATTCAGACATCTAAAAGCTTCTTTGCAGAAGAACCCCACCTCAACTGTCTGCCCAACACAGCAGACATCTGGGATGGGGTGGGAAACTATTTGAAGTCTCCACAAGCCTCAGGGTAACTCCGGCATTACCTGTTGCATGCAAGTGACTATCAGCTACACATCTTTGTCAGACTCATCAGATCATGCTTCCACCCAACCAGGATGGCTCCTGAGTAGCTACACTGGCTTTCCCAAATATCCTATTCAATAACTCAATAGTTCATCAGCTAATTTCCCAGTTCACCATCTCCCCTTTTCTTCTCACAAAGCATAACTACCATCTCATCCAATTCTTCCTGGTCTGTCAGGTGGTGGGGTCAGACCTCACCTCTAACATGGACACCTGGAAGCCCACATCATTCACCAGTTCCCCACTCTGCAGTGTGTCCTATCAATCCATCTAACCCTGACCTCACTCCAATCTCAGGAGCGCCACTTCAGGGCCGTCTGTCTTTCCTTCTCAAAGCCTGGCCTTCCTCCTCGCCCTTGGCTCCCTTCACTGTCTTAGAGCACGGAGGCTTTGAATCCCAGGCCCTTTTCCAGCTTGACCACACTCTTCCAAAGGTGAGAGAATACTTAACCTACCACTCTTCTACAAAGCGGCCACTTCTAGTAGCTCCTGTGATGTCCCAAAGCAACAGAAGAGGGCAGAGAGGAGCTGCCAGAAAAAAAGCACACAGCATTTGCTCCAAAACCCACGGACACTGTCTGGTCCCAGAGTGGGAAGCGTCTGTCACGCATGAAATATCCCTGGTTTCTACACACATGGGCTCACAAACAGCACACCAACGCAGCCAGCTGTGTGACAACTCCATCCGTGCAAAGCCAGACCTGCCTGCTGCATCCAGCCTCCAAAGCTCCGGAGATGCCCTCAGTTCTCCCTGCGCAACACATCTGGGAAATGCTGGTTGCTGAGGGCATCCTGAACATCCTTTCCATCCCCTGACTCCGCAGCTCCAAAATCTGCAGATTTTCCTTGCTACAGAGTAAGCACATGACTCGTTTTGCCTGAAAACAATGTTTCGTCACCAGAATCCCTGAAATGCTCCAAGGGGACTGGCAAAGCACTCTCTCAGGCAGGTGACACCCTCCTGCACGGACGAAGTGGCAGAGGTCCAATATCCCTGTGCATCCCTACAACGAGGGCTAGCACAAGAAGGGCAAGTAGCTGCTCCCACAGCTGCTAGGGGTAGCTCCTCATGGTAATACGCTATTTCTCCCTTACATCTGACACACACCCAGAGCCCTGGATACCTAAATGAGCAATTACATCAGAAACCCTAGATGCAGGGCCTCGTCACCTCCCCTTTGACACTGCTGTGCAGGACCAAATCATTCCCACAGCGAACTGGGAGCAAGAGGGAAATGGGAGAAGCAGCAATCTCAGAAGAATCATTTGGCTCTGGTCCAGGTAACTCCAGGGCTCAGGAAACAAGTTTCTAATAATCAAGGCTTGCTAGCTGGTTAAACGCATCATCTATGCACACTGCTGCTGTTACTAAACATGAGACACTATATTTATTACCATGGAAGACTTTCTGTAGCATCAGAAACAGCTCCCTTTATTGCCTGCTCTCTTCATGTACTTCAAGACTATTGCAGGGGGGCTGGGGGAGAGAAGGAAAATAAAAGAGCGCATGCGCATGCAAGATAAATGAACCATGCAATAAAAATTGTTGAAGTTGGCTCAGGCATCCCCTGATAAGATCACAGGAATTGAGAAAGAACTGCAGCTCTAATGGTGAAAAATCCAGCCATTGACAAAATGCATCCGCTCAGGGGGGGAAAAAAAAAAAGTTGTTAAACAGACGTTTAAACACACAGAGCACTTGCTAAAAATAATAATTGTTTGAGGTCCAGAGTATTTTGTCTTAATATGATTCTGATCCCAGGAGCCAAAGCACCCTTGGTATCAACAGTCCTCTTTGCAGGCTCATACAAATCAATACTCAAAGTACATGGATCTCGCACACTAAGACTGTGAATCTGGAGATAGAACCTGAAATCATCACTCTGTCTGCACGATCCATCCCTGTGTGCAAATCCTAAGTCCTCAAGCACCTTGCAGACACAGATTACTAGAATTCCTGGAATGGGACAATTAGACTGGCTAAAGCAGCAGGACACCATTTTGGGAATACTTACTGCCTCCTTTTGACAGTCCTTCTGAAGCTTCATCTGTTTGTTCACATAGCAAAGTGCTTCATGCTTCAAAAATCACAGCAGCCTTTTAGCATCCTCCAGCAGGTAAGGCCCTCCATACTATCCCTCTCAACCCAACTGAAGCCAAATCTGGTGAACAGGGAAGCCCAGCACCCAACACCAGCCTAAAAAGTAACATCACGCATGCTGCAAGGAAGAACTTTCTCTCATCAGCCACGCACACAGCTCCTTGCTGCTGCCTGCCAAGCATCCCAAGTTCTCCCACAGAGCTGAAACCCAACAATGGCCCCCACACAACCCCTCCCTCTCTCTTTTCTCCAAAGCTTTTGTGCTGCACAGAGCAAAGCTTGTGGTGACAGTGAGCTCTGGGCAGTGACACCACCCCTTGTGCCTCCTGCAGAGCACAGTGGTGCAGAGAGCTCCAGAGGACCTTTGCATTCTCTGCTGAGAGCTCCACGTCCCTCAGACTAAAGCTCTCCCTAGGCATGGCACTCCGCAGCCACCAGTAGTTTTCCCCATGATGTTGGTGACTAGCACATGATGTACTAGCAAGGGAACAGACATCTCCCCAAAATCAAAGGAAACCATTCCCAGCTTTTAACGAAAACCCAGGAAGTAATGAAACTCTCCGAAGACGACTCCTGCATTTTGACTCCAGCAATAAACCATTGGGAAATGCCTTTGGAACGGAGGTGGCTCGGCTCTCCGAGCTGCTGTCCTGGCACTCAGAAGATGCATGGGCCTTTCTCAAAAGCTGGAGTGGCTTCAAACAGCTGCAGTTAGCTACCAGCTAGGGAAGCTGCCCATACTTACACATCTACCATAGTGTCCACAGTTCTGAAAAAAAGATCAAACCGTAGTTCACCAGAGGGCTGCTCTAACTTGAAATAGGTCACCGGGTGTTGGGATCCACGGTTTCAGCAAGGCATGCTTTGGGAGTTCAATGGCAGCAGCTACTCCCTCTTCTGCTAAAGGCAAGCCCCTTGCCACAGCCTTAACTCTCTCAGAAGCTGCGTCCCGCAGGGATCCTCCAAGAGGCTGTGCTCCCTGCCAAGCCCAGCTACGCTCCATCACACCTCCCGCGCCACTTCATCTGCTCTGGAAACGCTCGGTGCTTCCTTTTGTCAGTACTTGTCTGTCAGGTAGGCAGTTCTGCCAAGAACCTTAAAGCAGTTGCAAAGCTCTCCACAGTTGCACATGCAAACCCTCTTAAGAAATAGCCAGAAGGTTTTGCCTAACGTAGGAGCGTAAACAAACTTGTTACATGCTAATCACCAGGTAGGCCACACACCCTTCCCCTCCCCCAGTCCCCGAATCTGCTAAAAGGACAGGAAATATCATCGTGGTCACATACCTTTGCTTCCTCGTTGATGTCCCAAGTGAAGGATATGGCATTGTACGCAATCTCCTCAATGTTACTGATGGTGTTGAAGCTCTCCTTGTAGTCAGCTGTTAGAAAGAGGGATGCATGAGGGAGAAGAAGAGGAGATACCATCTGGAGTCCTTAATCACAACAAAGCAGCCAGAAACTGCAACTCGTCAGCAACCCCTTGGCGGGGGACAAAGGAAGCTGAACTGTGCTTGAGAAAGGATCATTAAAAAGGCTGAAAATGGTTCTTGTACAAAACCAAAATACAACAAACAGGAGGAAATAGGAAAATGAGTATTGGCAGAAATGCCAAACTAGAAACTCCAGTGAGAAAGACAGACGTCCCAAATATCCCACGTCCTGCACCATAGCCTGCTATGTGCGGGAAACTCTACCCTGTATGGTAAGGGCATAAGATCTCAATAAAACTCCTTCAATAACAAACAAAGATTTGCATGCGCGTCTGCTTTAAGTGCCAAGTGATTAATCCCTGCTTTTATTCACAGAAGGAAGGGACTAGGAGTACAACCCAGCCTTCAGCCAGAGAAGGCTGGAAGCCAGCCAGCCCCAGCCTTGTCTGGAGGCAAGTGGAAATTTGCAGTGTTTTCTGTTTTTAATGTGTACCAAAGACCAGTTGTGAGCGAAGCAGTGGGAAGAAGGATTGTTAGTGTCGAGGTATTTCTACGAGGATCTTGTTCATTGAAAAAACACAATATTTAGGCCACAAAGTCTATAAGCAGTGATTCAGCTACAAGCACCAGAATATGCCAAAGCAACTGTAGTTTGGAGGGGGTGTCTTAGATCTCCCAATGCAAAACCCTAAATTCAGACGGTTCACCAACCAAAATCCTCCAAAAATCATCCTTCTTAAAGAGTCCTAAAAACTACAGCATTAGCTTCAAGCAATCAAAGCTCTCTCTGGGCTTTCAGCAAAGCTACGGATAGCAGAGAGTGTGATCCAAAGGCTCCTTAAAAGAACAAAGCTTTACCAGAAAACCAAACCTTGCCAAGGAATTAGGTTTGGAGTTTGACATCAGCAATGAGAATGTTCCTTACCTATGTCAATGCATCTTTGTTTGGCCGTGTGCTGTCTTGAGTGCCAGTATTTCCAGTGCCTGAGCTGATCTTCTCTTGTTTTGTCTTCAGCAAACACGACCATGATGACACTCTGAAAGGAGAGGGGGAGGGGGTAAGATTAAAAAAAAAAGAATAAAACGCAAATGCGTGAAAGAGAAAAGGCGACAGAGTATATTTGTTTTGGAAGTTCTCCTTGGTATCAGGTTTTCTGCTTTAGGCTTTCCAACCTGATGCACCACAGAATACCTGGCACACCGCCGCCAAACAGGAAGGCAGACAGCAGCGCTTTCTGGGTCATAAACAGAGATGAGCAAAACTGCTCTCCTAACTGGAGTTCAAGGATCTCATTCCAGGTGTTGCATCACCTTTACACAAGTGCTGACACCACTTCTCGACAGACTGAGCCAGGATGGGTTGGTCTGGAAGTAGGTGGACAGCAAAGGAACGAACAGTGATGTAAGAGAACGGATAAGCTGGCCTTAGTGCTGATGCTCTGGTTTAGATTACTGCACTTCGGGAGTTTTCAAGGCTACCATGGTACACACCCTCTTTCCCAAAAAAACCACAAGAGGTGCCACTCACTCGGACTTTACTGATGGGGTGATGGATTCCTTCGCTGCTGCTGACTTCTTTCAGCGTGATCGGGTAAAATTGACCTTTATTCAGGTAAGTCATGGTGCTGTCCCCAGGCTTCTGTCGGAGGGATTTGGAGGCTTCCAGAGTGTATTCGAAGTTATTCCTATGGAGGGAAGAGGGCACTGATAGCTAAGGCATTTTCCTGGAAAGCCGATTAAATGTTCCACATTTAATTTGGAGAAATTCCAAAGTCGTTAGTTGACTCACTAAGCCATCAACAGGCAAGGAAGTTGGAAAACAGGATGAGCCCCTTTTTCAACCATTTCCTTTATGAATGAACATTTAAGAGAAGTTCTTGGTAAGCTAAATCCCAAGACACATCAGCAGCCAAGACTGGAAGCTCCTTATTCAAGCTGGGAGCAGCAAGCTGCTCTCATGAACAGAGAAGTATCTATTAGCAATTAAATTACATTCACAAGCTAATAAGCCATTCAGTGGCCATGGTCTTCTCCTCTTATTACCTCTTGGTCAACTGCAGCTAACCAAACAACTAGTTTATTCCCCTCCCTTGGAGTTCAGAGGAGTTTCATGCTTCCTATTTCTGCTGTAGATTTCCAACACGGAGAGAGCAAGGCAAGCAGGCCAGGGAGAGGGACCCAGGTGGAAGCCAGCTACGAGACCACCGCAGAGCTGACAGACAGCACTGCATCTTCTCATGGGACAGGGAGTCGGTCCAAGGACATCGACTGAAATAGGGTGGTATTTCCAACCCTGCATGTAGTTTTCCTTAAAGATACAGGTAGGATTTTCAACTGTGAAATTCAAACAAGCAGGTACTGTTGTGGTTCTGAGATCCACAGTGTGCATCCCCAGTGCCTGACAAGAGACTCAGCGCAGAAGGGAGTGAGCTGTACTGCTTGCTCGTGGACAAGTCAACTGTAAGAGAAGAGGAGGGTATAGGCAAGCAGGGGGCTTAAAGCATTACCCAGAAATGCTGTCAAACACGTAATCTTCTGAATTCATGTTGGCCATCCGGAGATTCAGTTCAGTAGGAAAGAAAACCTGGGGTAAACACAAAACAACACAATTAACACAGCAGCAACAAGTCAAGATCAAACAGATTCTTGTTACCACAGAACTTCTGGCAGGCAAATTGATCATCAGATAACAACTGATTTTTGGTCTGTACAAACAGGACACTCAAGCAGGGTTTTAATCCAAAACTTTTGGGTGTCAACTGAACACAACATCTCACAAGCCTTCTGAGTCACCTTAGGGCAACATTTTAAAGCTTTCCCAAATCTCAAAGAAAGGGCATAGCTACACAATTCCTTGAAGTCTGGCTTAAAAAAAGAAATCAAAACATGGTTACACTGTTGTTTTCGGTTGGTACCATCATGGATTTTCATCCAGGTTTAATTCTCACTCGAGGCCCCCAAATAAAGCGACTGTTTTCCACTGACACACACCACGCCTAGAAACTGCCAGTAAGGAAGCTTACAGACACAGTCACTTCACTTCGGTACCTGCAAAGGCACTGTGGAGCGCTGAACTCTTGCAAAACCTGGCCCAGTGCTGTGGATTGAGATAACTATTTCCACACACTGCAAGCCAAAGGCTCGGTCACTAGTAAGATTAGTCATTTGATAACGATTTCATGTTGTGAAGGTTTTATTTCCTAAGTTACACTTATGCACCTTTCTGAGAGAGTCTTCTATTCCTAAATCATCGGACAGATTTCTGGCTCATGTAACAAGAACAATTAAAGATGGAACTGGATCTCTCTGCCCAGATCAAGACATGCACTCACACACACGTGCACACACACACAGAGTGACTGCCTCTCTTGGTACCTCTTGCACGCCCTCCTTGAAAGTCTCTGAGAAGGTGGAGTCTGGTGTTCGCCTCTGGGAGTTCTGAGGCTGGGTGTTGGAACTGAACTGGTCGGGATTGAGGTTCCTGTCGAAGACCACCACCCGCTCAGGGGGCTCGGGGTGGTAGACGCTTGGTGGGATGCCCACTGCAAAGCCATGGGGCTGTGTCTCCGTTTTGATGGAATGGGTGGGCATCGTGGCAATTGAAACAGTGACCGTTGTGTCAGGGGTTGTAAGGTGGCCTCTCTTGTCCATGCCCATCTGGGGCGTGTGTGGAAGTACAATATTGAAAGGCACATTTTTCAGAACCTGGACTCTGTTTTCTCCAGCAGAAATGAGTGACTGTTCTGTCACATTTGGGATGCTGTTCCTTTAAAGGACAAAGAAAAAAAATCATGCATAAATTACGCAGCTCATTTTCTCACTAAAAAAAGAGCTAGAAATACTTCTCAGCCTTTTGGACAAGGACAGCTGATACCAACTCTCCTGCTTGTGCAGAACAGCTCAATCCTAACCTGAAAAGCTGAGAAACTCATTCAAAAAAGAAACATCACCCACCGCTAACAACCCCACCTTGGAGATGAATTACCCTGGAGCAAAGGGTGAGGGTTCACAGCCCAGATCCTCACTGCTTGGAAAACAGCGGTCCAAAACTAAGCACTTTGAAGCCCTTCCCACCACGCATCGGCACACGCAGGCTCCATGAAACTGCTCTTTGTCGGATGGAGGAGAACTGGAAGGAAGGTTGCTGCTCCTCTGCCCTAGGACTGCACGCCACCTGGGACGCGCTAATAGGGAAATTACACCCTTCTTTCAAGCACAAACCCCCGAGAAAATCCACACCGAGACTCCCTGGAGTGGTTTGCGTAACTTCACGCTCTCCACCCCACCACACTCATTTCTGCCAGGACAACACCAAGATCTGTGGCTGAGCTGACCTCATAGCTAGTAGCCACTAAGTCAGCCTGCCCTCCCTTTCTCCCTCCCCACAATGTGGTCCTGCCCTCTCCTTTGCACCAATCCTGACGCTCCCCTGTCCCCTTGGTGAGCCAGTTCGGCTTGTTCCACTGGCAGAAAACTAGCCACTTCTTTTTTTCCTGCTAGGTTATGGGTCAGTGGAAGACCAGAGGGGAGCAGTGGGAACACATGGCTGGGAACCAGACCACTCCGCTCTTCTCAACAGCGAGTCATTCAATTGGCTCAGCCAGACCACAAAACCTCACCTCGAGTCCTTAAAGCATTCTAGCCTGTCCAAAGGAAGAGGATGGTAGGAGTGGAAGCCTGGCTTGAATGAACGTCACATTTGCAGTATTTACTTAATCAGTTATCTTCTGTTTGGGAGGCGCAAGAGAGGGAGTGCAGGAAAAGGAAGAAAGAAAGAAGTTCCAGAGGATACAAAAGAAGTCCACAAGCAATACAAACCAAAAACTAAATCACAAGCACTTTGAAGTCCTTCCCTATCAGCCCATGCACGAAGAAGCAATGCTGCTGGTGCCTGAGAGCACAGCAGTGAGCAACTGAGGCAACCACATGGAAAAGTATCAGGGTCACCAGTCACCTCCGCAGCCTTGGGAAGGGGTGCTTGTGCTGCCAGGCTGTGCCTAGTGTTAAAAAGAGCAGCTTTTGCTATGTTGACTGTATGACAACAGTACATAGAAAGCAGATGAATGGCAATGAGAAGCAGTTTGGGCCACATCATCCCATCCTGTTCCTGGGGCAGCACAGGAATTTGAGGCACAGAATAAAAGCAAACAATTTCTCTCTTCCAGCACAACACTGCAGTGCAGCAAGTTACTTTCCTTCAGCAGCTTTGGTGGTCTAGGAGAGAAGGGAGATAACCAGACATGCAATAATGAAAACTAATACCTTTTGCTGTGGTCTTGGTCAGGATGTTCTACCTCTGGTTTAGCTGTCGAAGACCTCCTCTCCCTTGGAACCTAGGAAATACAAGACATACTCTAATTTCATTCTTCCTGTCATACAAAAAAAAAAATTAGCCCCTCAAAACACAGCCATTTGGTCAAATTAAAGCATCATGCTCTGATACGAGTCATTGGCATTACAGCTTGACTGATGTTCACATGGCTTTGGGATGCCAGGCCTGCCCCAGGTGATGTCCCACAGATCCCCGAGCAGCTGTGCCAGACCTGGGCTCTTGCTAGTGCCAGGCGGTGGGAGAACCAGTGCAGAATACCAGCCATCCCCGGCTGGAGTGCAAGCACCAGGATGGACAGGACCAGGAGGAGAGCCCCCAAGGTTTGCACTGGAAGTGCAGGTTTTCTCCTCTGCAGCCTGGCAGGGTTCAGCTTGCTGGATGAGCTCAAGGCTCATGAAAGGACGCTGCTCCACAGCCCCTTCCCCATGAACATGTGCTCTCTAGGCCACTTCCTCAAAGACCACTTGAGGCTTTCCCTTCTCCTCAGAGACCAGGGGATTTGGGGACGACCAGGGTCAATAAGTGTATTGGGATGCTACAGCTCATTTTTGTGCATGGCCATGTACAACACACTGGCCCAAACCTTTTTAAATCTTTTATAAAGAACAGGTAACCACCAGTGCTCTAGATTTAAGACCGCTCAATACTGCTCCTTGCATTTTATGCCATGGACAGGATTTCACAGAATCATAGAATCATTTGGCTGGAAAAGACCTTTAAGATCCTCGAGTCCAACCATATCTGTCCACTACTAAACGGTGTCCCCAGGCACCTCGTCTACCCATCTTTTAAACACCTCCAGGGATGGGGACTCGACCACTTCCCTGCACAGCCCATTCCAGTGCCTGATAACCCTTTCAGTGAAGAATTTTTTCCTAATATCTAATCTAAACCTCCCCTGGTGCAACTTGAGGCCATTTCCTCTTGTCCTACTTGCCCTGAAAACACCACACAGCGTGACACCGATCGCACAAGCCACCTCGTCCACACACAGACGCACGCCGTTTTCCTAGCTGTGCTGCAAGGCCAAGGCATACAGAAGAAGGTGAACTCTTTGACCAGAGCACGCAGCCAGTGCCCCTGTGACCCAAACAGTTCTTGCTGTGGTGCTCAGGTCCCCTCAACCGCACAGCAAGTCCACCCAAGCTCCTCTGACTGCCCAGGACTTTTGTCACCCTCAACACACCTCCTGAATGAGCAAAGCAAACACTTTGTGGTGTAAGGAGTAGTAAACTCCCACCACTTCCCTTCACTGAAAGATACCACCTGCGTTTGCCAGCTTGGGTGCAACGCAGGGAACCTCTGCTTTCCTGCTAACTCAAAAACTGATGGCATACCTGCGTGAACAGCATACTTCTCTAAACAGCCCCCAACTAAAACCTACATCCTGGCCCTTCCACATAACCTGGAGTCTCCAATAACACCAGAATTGTTGGATTTTCCACAGTAACCAGCAAAATTCAGAGAACCTCTAGCTGGAGACTGCTAGCAGGCTGACGATAACTAGCCACTGAAAAACAATGGTCTTCCAAGCTGCGTTTGGCCTCAAGCCCCAAATCCTAAACTCTAGATTTTAATCAAAAATTTGTTTCCTGTAAGGCCTTATCAACCACAGTTGAGCCATCTTCCATTAGTCAAATGGAAAAAAGCTCTAATTGTTTGGTTTTGTTGTTCTGGTGGTTTTTTTGGTTTTGTTTTTTTTTTTTATACGAAGGTGACCTCATCAGCTGCCTTTAATATTGCAGAGGGGGCGTATTAGAAATGCCTAGGCATCGTCCCTCTAGCATTACTTCGTAACAGCCCTCAATAAATCTTTCAACCTCTAACTATTTTGCTTCATGCAAGCGTGTGGTATACCTGTCCTTCCACTGATTTTTCTGTACACCCGCTGATACCCAAACATAAGAGGAAACCCCAAATTAAGCATTAATATACAGCAAATCCTTCTGCTTTGCCAAGCGTGAAGGATCAACATCGACGTTCTCTTTGTAATCTACAGGTTTAGAAATCAAAATTGATTTTGTGGATTAAAATTGTTCTGGTGAAAAGTGTTGGGTTTTTTTTCCAAGAGCATAGCAAGTGCAGGCACAAAGCAGAAAGCCAGTTTTCTCATAAAACTAGCTGAATTAACATCCACATCAGTGAATTTGTGGCATTTTGTCGTGTGTGTGTGGAGTGCTAATCTCCATATTAAGCATTACAAGAGTATTTTGCTACGTAAGACGTGTTCAACTCTTAAAAGGACAGGCAAGGATTTTGTATGCACAAGGCAGCCTCTCCTCGTGCCTGAAGAAGATATCAAGGCTGGCAACTGCACTCACCGCTGTTAAAAGACACTAGCCAGAGTGTCAAGCACATGAGCCAAGTCAGCCTCCTGGCCTCCCTGCACGCTCAGCAAAGTATAAAACAGGCATCTCCACCCCGTGAGCCAGGCCACCATAATGCAGGCATCTAACACAAGCAGGACGCCTCCCTGCCTGGAACTGCCTGCTGGTCTCCATTGACTTGGACGTGAACTGGAGATAACTACCCTGGCTTAGACTTCTGGTATTTAGGAAAGAAAGCTCAGCAAAATGTATCCCATGCAAACCAAGAAGGTTATGTTTGACTGCGTTCAATTCTCCTGTGAGCATCTAGGAAGGTGCCTATCTCCAAGAAGACCATGAACGCTGTGGAAGACAACCACAGTTGCCACAGGATTGACAAATTAACAGCACCTGAAGCTCACTGAAGGTCAGAGGAATGCAGACAGCAACTCCTTCAGGTGGACACTTCTGCCCCACACACCACCAAAAATCTGTAGTTATAGCTTAGTATCAGCTGAGACCAAGGTAGCACATCAAAACCCCAGCAAAAGTCGATAGTCCCACCAGAAAAGGGATCACATGAGCAAAAGGAGACAAGTTTCTTTCTCCCATGTTCAGATAGGGACATGCTCCCAAAGTCTCACTCCTCACAACTATTTCTATAACACATAGCCTCCTGCAGAACCTGGAGTTGACAGGCAAAGAGCAACTGAAGCTTTTGACCCATTACATTAAGATCCGGGGGATCTTATTTTACTGAACTAAAAGTAAACCAATTCTCAGAAAGAGGGACATAGAATTTTTTCCATTTAAAAGCTGCATAGTTTGAAGTCCTCATGATCATAGCTTCTGTAAAATACTCTAGCAAATGACACCTTTTCCACAGGTGGAACAAGAGCTCTGCTGGCTGCCAGAGCGTACCCCCACCAATCTACCTTGTAGTAATCATACAGCAGTCCGAGGGCAGCTGCGCTGTCTTCATCACCATTGATGCTCATCATAGCTTTGGTAGCTGCTGTAAGGGGATTTTCAAGGAAGGTTTTCCAGGCCTCATCTTCACTGGTGTAAGGACGTCTCTGAGAGTAGAGAGAGTCATTCTGAAGAACCAACACGGGTCTTTTACTTGAATCATAAAAAAAGAAGAAGAAAGAAAAAAGCCACCTGTCAGAACACATGAAAAACATTCCTAAAGTTCTTCAAAATTAGCTGCCCCAGTTTCACAGGGTTCATATTCTGATTCAGTGCACTGCAAGGATTAGTCAACACAAAAAGCCCAGAAACCTAATTCTGATCTCACTCACGCTCAGTGTAAATCAGGATTAATTTGACCAAACTCAGCTGGATTACACCAGCCTACATAAGAATCACAAAGCCGTTTCAGAGCACCACTGACCTGCTCATGCTCTGAATCCAACCCAGAAGTTACACATGCTTACTGGCCCACCACCTGCAAAACCTCTAGCACATCCTACATAACACTACCGAGCCCCAACCTGTTCCACTTCCCATGTGGGACTAGAAAATGTGAACTAATGAAACATCTCTTTCCCCCCAGAGCTTTCAGAAGGTGTCTTCCCTCTCGGAGCGTATCTCAGAACGCCACCTAGAAGCTGCCGATTAGTTACAGGCTACACTGGGAAATTGGTCAAGGGGACCTCAAATCAATTTGGCAGTGAATTTTTCTGACAAGGGAAGCCAAAAGACTGCCCAGTTACTGTTGAAATAATCTGCGACACCAGTTCAAAACACCCTCAACAGATGACTGGGTCAAAAAAGAGAGAAACTGGAGTTTTTCCCTTCATGTTGTAGAATGCAAAAAGTTGTATTTACTCTGAACATTTCGACATTGCTGGAAACGACGACTTGGACTTTCTGCCCACAGGTGAAAGTGGGACATCTGTAGAAAATGCTGTCCTACCAGCTTAGACAACTTGTTATACTTTGGGTCTGTTGCTAAAATACGCGCTTTATCTTTCGAGTTGGCTCAAGCTAGTGTTGTTTAAATCTGACTTTTAAAACTGTTCAAATTTTTCTTTCCAGCACAAGCGTAACGTTAGTTTACTGCAGATTAGCAGGGGGAAGAGGGAGGCTTTTTTATTTTTATAGTAATCACAAACTCGGCATTTTTTAATGAATTGCTAACAGTTTAAAATAAATAAATAAATATTTAAAAAAACCAAACCCCGCAAAAACCAGTTCCCCACAACCATCACACCCCTTCCCCAGTAGATAAGCATTCTTTTCATCCATTTACCCAGATGCATTCTGAGATTGAAATATACTACAAATACAAAAAGTTGTGAAATATAAAGTTGTGAAATACTCTAATCACTATCATCAGCTTGAACAGTATCCTACATTTATCACCACCTTCTACCAAAAAGATTGCAAAGCACTTTGCAAATTATGTGTTCGATCCTTTTATCAGTTACACAAGGAGTCTCTCGCTGAGCTTCAATGGGACAGCTTGGCGGAGCTAAAGACACTTAGGTGGGAGTTTCCAGGATTTGTAAGAGCACTTTGTGGCTATAAATCAGTATTACATAGTTGGAAAAAAACAAACAGCAACAACAAAAGAGACAAGCCCTTGCACCAAGCCCTTTCTTTGGGTCTTTGTACCAAAATGCAGCATACCAAAATGCAGCGTACCGTTGGTATCGAGGACATCTACTTTCCATCAAAGACTGCACAGCAGAAGATGAAGTGGAATTTTCTTTAGGGACATAGTACACACTCCTATTCTTGTACAATGTGATAAAAGAAATCTCGAATATCCATAGCAAAGGGGTAAAACCTCCAGCTAAGAGTCACTCGTAAAGAAGGCAGCAACTGAAGTATCCGGGGTGCAGTTCCCTTGATCCATCCCTGCCAAGTTGGAGGGCTAAGTCAGCCTTGCTGGGACTCACAAGACCACTAAGCTGATCCCTTCCAGCAATGGAATTCTCACATGGGAAGAGAGAATGGAGAACCCAAAATACTGAGAACTAAAGCAGCCACTAACGAGAACTGTAGCAAAGGCAAAAACTACGTATTTTTTGTGCGATTTGTCATTGCAACACCTAAATATAATAATGCACATTGCCCTACAGGTAACGTAACCCCCTAAAAGCGGCACGGAAAGACTTATCTGCAGAATTATCAAGAGAAGCACAGGGTTTGGCAGTAACTCAATCCCTTCACAGAACCACAGCTTCTTTCAGGAAAATGAGAACATATTAGTAAGAGAAGGCAAACATTTATTTTTCCTAAGTTTTAGGTTTCAAGATTACTAGCACGTGGATCCGCTCACAAAGTAGCGGACGTGTCCAGCAAAGGCTGGAAATAAATTTCCGACTGCAGTTGTAATAACTTCTGAATTTTCATTTCCTACGTGACCGAAGTGGAAGCCCAGGAACATGGCAAAGAGCAGACACCCTCGCTTTGCCTGCGAGGATCCCACAGCCTGCCGCCTTCCCAGTTCAGACCACAGATGCTGACCAGCCC